GCTTTCTATTTAGGATAGTACCAATGACCATTTCTAGAAATAAATAATTCTTATTTTTTATATTTAGTGTTTCCAGTAAGTATCATTTTATGTTTCTAAATAGTTGTTGACAGCAGAAATGGAGGGTCATGATTTAAGGGGACAGGAATCTTAGGAGTATTGGCACAGAACCAAAACCAAATAAGAACAATAACAAAAATACATTATTTTCTAGCAACAGAAAGTTACAATATTTATTTAACAATTACTGAGAACCATCTTCTGTCAAGTAGTTTATAGGTGCTGTGGATGTCAGTGAACAACACACTCACAAAAAACAATTTCTGCCTTCATAAGATTTGCATTCTATTAGGTATTAATAAGTATAATAAATAAGTAAAATGTGAGGTTAAATGTGGAAAAAAAGAAAAAGAAGAGCAGGGTAAGGGACTAGGAGCAGATCACAGTATCACACATAGTGGTCAGGATGGGCTTTGTTTCCAAGGTGACACCTGACCCTGCTTGCACAGAGCAGGCTCCTTATCACTTTAGGGCAATAATAGCAGAAATCCTTTTATTTTTTGAGTGCCTAGTATATGTTAATCCTATCCTAGGTGCCTTTCAGTATCATTTCTGATTTTCAAAATTATCCTATAAAGTAGGCTACTTCATTTCATTTTTTTTTACAACAGGAAAATGAAGGCTTAGGGAAGTTAATTATGGGGTCCAAGATTCACACAGCAAATAAATATCGGAGCAGCAATCTTTATTTTGGTAACTCATTCAAAAGCTCATGGTCTTTCTACCCTACCAGTGTTGCTCAAGATGTGGTTTCTCAAGGTATAGGGTAGGAAGCTACTAGAACTCTCTGGAGGTGTACATTAACAAGTGCAGATTCGAGGTCCCTATGCAGGTGCTACTCAATTCCATTTTCTATAGAATGACCCAGGAACATGAATATTTAACAAGTTTCCATGAAAACTCTGCCACATGCTCAAGTTTGAGAACCACTATTAAAACGTGCTGCCTCTGCCTTTCGATAGAGTGATCTTGATGTTTGTATCATGACCTATTTCTAGCTGTAAGATTTCCAAACCAGGGTTGAAAAGCAAATTATCATGTGCAAAAGACTGTCCGAGACTGAAGTATGTGTTAGCCTCTGGATCTAAGTGCTTATTCTGTACTGTGGGTCAAAGCCAGGTTTGTTTCTGCCTTTACCCATTAACCCAGATCCTAGCCACATGAGAGAGGCAGTCCCAGCACTAAGAAATTAAGGACACACAATATTCTTGGGGGTCCCTGCTTGGTCTCTGGGTGATTCTATAACCCTTCCATCAATTCTGAGGAATCACTGTCTTCAGGACACATTCTGCCTTCAAGAACAACCTCAGAGCCACTTCTCCTAACAAGTCTTCCCTTTCTAGTATTAATGGAAGTGACACCTTCCTTTCCCAGCTCATAAAATAAACCCTTTCAAGAAATGAAGCTTCACAATTGCTATCTACCTTTACCTTTCAGGCCCCACCCACCAGCTTCATCCTTCCTTGTTTGAAAATTTAACAATTCTAAAAGCTTCTTTAAAAAGAAAACCAAAACAAAATGAAATAGCTATATATATGGCTGCATTTTTGTCCACCCACACAGACCAGCTCTGTGAACCAACTGCTAGCCTTGGTAATAACCAACTAAATTCTGAAATGCCAAATATGCCAAAAAAATCCAAAATGTGATGCAATTTTCTTTAAGAAAGACGGGAAGTTGGTGCTGGGATATTCAATCATGAAAATTTTAGAAGGAGAAGGGATCTTGGATATCACTCATTCAACATAGTCCTTTGATAACCAAAGAAATCAAAGAAAATGAAATCATGCTTGGCACAGTGGTGCATGCATATAGCTTGTAATCCCAGCAGCTCAGGAGACTGAGTCAGGGGTATCACAAGGTCAAAGTCAGCCTCAGAAACCTAGTGAGGCTTTCAGCAACTTGGTAAGATCCTGTCTCAAATAAAAAATAAAAAGGGCTGGGGATGTAGCTGAGTGGTTAAATGCCTCTGGGTTCAATACCAATTCCTGGCACTTAAAAAAATCATGTAGCTAATGAGGAGCAGGGACGTGACTATAGTAAAGTTTTCTGGCAACAGTTTATTCTTATAGATCCAGCTTGGAATCTTTGCTCCCTATTTCCTCTCACTCCGCTGTTCTTTTTCTCAATACACAATTCCTATAATCAAGAATGATTATATTGTTGATTAACTCACTCTAAGAAAGGTATCCTTAATTTCTCCATGCTCAAAGATTCTCACATGTATAAAGAACAAGGATTGGTAACAGGGAAATTAATTCAACCAATATTTATTTTTTTTCTACCATGTCCTGGGCACAGGCATGATGTAAAAAAGAAAGTAGATGGAAATGGACAAAAATTTACATTTTAGTGAGGAAACACATTAAAAAAAAGAAATCTGTAAAACTCTCCATTGGTATTGGTGAGTGCTAAGGAGAAAAAGCAGAGAATAGGAACAGGAGGTGAGGATGTTTGTGTGTGTGGGGGTGGTGTCAGGGGTGGAAGAGTTGCATTTTTTTTGTGGTTCTGGGGATTGAACCCAGGACCTTATGCTTGTGAGGCAAGCATTCTACCAACTGGGCTATATCCCCAGCACAAGGAGTTATATTTTTGACAAAGTGGTCAAGAAAGTCCTCTTTAAGAAATAAAGATCATATCTTGCGAACACACATGAGTACTATCTAAGAGAATCTCAACACCTATCCCTGCATAGAATGATAAACAAAGATCAGATTTGGGGGGCTGAAGCTGTAACTCAGTGGCAGAGCACTTACTAGCATGTTTGAGGCACTGGGTTAAATCCTTAGCACCACATAAAATGAAACAAATAAAATACAGTCATACTGTCCATCTACAACTATAAAAAAAATTAAAAAAGATTAGATTTGGGAAGGTTGAAAAAAGTGGAATACTGATTTTTCCCCCTGCTGCTGTTAGTATTACAAGTGGCCAGAAACAGGGAGAAATAGGATGGCACAATTAAGAGGCAGCAGCTACACTTTCAAGGATGCCAGGAAGAGTTTTGTTAGTATCTGAGGTGGAAAGAAATGTGTGATGGTTTATAGTTTAATATAAAGGAAAACTATGCTTAGACAGAATTTAGAGAATAGAATTAAGATTGATGAGAGGTATTATTTTGCTAAAAATAATTCAGAGAACATGAAGTAATGCCAAGACTACTTGGCAAGATGATATGTGACTTAAAACTTGACAAAAATGTTGAAAAGTTCAGACATTTGATTCATCCAAATATGTAATTAATTATGAGGATTGGGGCTGAAGTGTGAAATTTATATAGAGTTGATGACTAATTCAACAGTTTTGAGATCTTACCATGTGCTACACAGGGACAATATTTGAGAGATGCTGAGGAATGGGACACCATTCTACATCAGGGAACTTTATTCACTGTGGGTAAGTCCGTTTGCTCTTCCTCCTGGGCATCTAGCCTGAGTACATTTCCAAGTCTTTCTTCTAGTTAGGAGTGGCTTGTGAATAAGTTCTGGCCAATGCGATCTTAGTGCATATTTGTTGGATGCTTCTTCTAAATTTGCCCATAAACCTTAAAGGATTGCAGTGTCTCAAAATGCAAAGTGATGTGGTTCCTCAGTCATCACCTGCAAGGCTATCTGCCAAATATCTGATTCAACAACAAGATATCATGTCAACAAGATATTTACATCTTTGGTATTAGAGTACTGAGATTTGAGGCAGCTTGTGTTGCCCAAGTAATAAAATTATTAATAAACACTCACATAGACATTTACAGTTTCAATAATGATTTCACATATTAAATGATTCTGACATCTACTCTGGGAACTAGATCAGATTTTCATTTTTTCCCATTCTATAGGAGCTGAAATTGATACCTACTGAGCATTGAATTACTTGGTCATAATCATATAGGTAAGACACAGAGGGCAAGTATTCTAAACCACTAGCTCTCAAATTTATTTAAAAAATTAACATAAGACAAGCATGGAGATCGATCTATGTAAGACATTTGATAGCATAGACAAACTTAAGAATATTCAAATGAGCCAATTATTATTCTTGATTGAAAGAGTCACAGAAGACTCTACTGGAATAGCTAGGCTTTATAGTGTTCGCAAATTGACAAGAGAAATGAGAGAAGAAACATGGAGACAGTTCCTGTAAATTTTGACATGCAATATGAGTGGAGAACAGAAATAGAAGAGAATTGGCATTTGTTCTAATGTTTCAAGGGAAGCTGGAGCAAGCAATGCAGTTTTATGAAGGAAAACAGGAACTGGTAATTCAATACAAATCAAAAAAATATTTATTGAGTGCTTGCCAGATGGAGGGCCTTCCAAAACTGTACAGAGGATACAGAGAGGAGATAACAAGGGCACAGCCCTTGTTTTAAATGCATTTATAATCTACTAGGGGAAATGGTCACAAATGACCGTAACACAATGTTGAATAAGATAAACATCAATAAGAACAGCAATGGGGTTCAAGAGACAGAAAAAAGGCATGGGAAGGACACAGGAAGGAAAGGTGAAGCTTCATACAGGACACAAAATGTCAAAATTGACCCTGGAGAAGGTACTGTCACTGAGGATGACACACATTCATGAACACATGAACTCACAAGGACCACAGACCGAATTCCAAAGAGAAGAGTTTTATCAATATTTTGAACAAGGATCACTGCTTTATGAATAATTAAATGACTCCAAAATATGATTCTTGTTTACAGGACAACAAAATGAAATTTATAATTAGGGTATGTTTGTTTAAACATGGAATCAAAAACTTACAGTAATATCATGTTATAAAAATTTCTATTCCTACCAAAACTGTCTAACTTTCAATGAATTCACTCAACAATCAGCATTATAAACCACAAGGTAGTGAATTTGTGTTTCATTATATCACCAAAGGCAATCAAAAGGCAGTTCACTAAGATGTTCTGCCAAATAAGGGCCACCTACCATGAACAAGGCTTCATAATTTTCAATCATCTTCTGCACCACAGCAATGATTGCCGTGCTCTCTTCAGCTCTGGCTGAGCTCTGGACTGAGAATTCTTTGTCCGATGACTTCTGTTTGTGCAACAGGTTGGGCCCAAATATGGTGGCCAAGTTTAGAGATGTCATTTTGTTCCCAGTGACCTATTGGAGAAGGGAATACAAGGACTGTAATTTTGTTTGCTTTTCAAAATACTGGATGATTCAATCAAAGAAAGTTCTTTCCTTTTCCATTTTTTTCCCTGCAAGAACAATATCATCTGTCAGAATCCATGAAAGGTACTATCATTTTCCTTCTGTCTCATCTATTGGATTGAAGCTCAGAGTTCAGTTGTCATCTCAAAAACATATTGAATAAAAATTTTCAATTTCAAGGTGTTTATTATGAAACTGGTACTATATAAAATTTCTATCCTGTTTATACTTAAAAATATTGATATTCACCCATCCATCTCTTCATCCATCCCTTTTCCCATCAGTCCATAATGTTTTTATTGATCCATCCAAATCAGCACCTATCACAGGCTAGGAATTTTTCATGGATACTATTTAAATTTTTTTCCAACAACAATCATAGCACAGCCCTAATTTTAAAGGGCTCACATTCTAGGAAGGAAATAAGCCTATCGTTTTCAGGTAGTGAACATGAAGTATAAAGCTGTCAACTCCAGAATCCATGGGAACACTACCATAGAGGTAGCAGTATTTGGACAACATCTAGATGGAAGAATGGAGTTTGCTGGGCTGAAAAGCAGAGAATCTGGAGCAGGGGGCAATTTTACAATAAACACCATAAGCAATGACAAAAGCATGGAAAATACATTAAGGAGTGTCAGGAAGCTCAGTGCAGCAGGGGGTGTTGCAGGAAAGGCTGCATCTTTCAACTAACAATCTATGGCCCAGGGAATGGCACATACAATGGAATGAGAATACCTGAGACACATCACCACAATCTAGGTTACAGTGGTTAGCTTTTCAACTAAGGTGGAAGAAGTAGGGGTGAAGAGAGGCAGCCAAAATTACTGAGGTAGAGAAAATGAGAGGAATAATGCTGAGGGTGATGATTCCATGTTTGAAGAAACAAACCAAAAAAAAAAAATGGAAATAGAGTAGTCAAGGAACATGGAGGTCTGAGGTTGATTTTGTTAGACTTCAACAACCTTAAGGAGCACCTGATGAAGCAGGCCAAGACTGGGTCAGAATAAGAGAAAACTGTGCCTGAAAAGAAATCCTAGGGGAATTTCAACTGTGTGCTCCCCTGTGGTAGATGTTCACCAAGGTATTATGCTCCCCTGTAGATTGAACTCTGGTGGTTCTGATGGCCTAGTTCAGAGCCATTTGGATGGTGTGGCAAGAAGTAGAAACAGTGAATGGAGACACTTTCTTCAAAAGGTCTCATGGAGAAGGAGGGAGAAAGATGGAAGGAGCTAAAGGGGAATACATGGTAAAGGAAAGGAACTACTCTTTAGCTGGAAGTATAAAAATGACTCATGTTTGATACATCAAGAAATAGAAAGCAAAATAAGCATATAGAAATTACATGCCCATAATTATTTCATCACTTCCAAGAACCAACTGTTCAGTTGCTTTTCTTTCTTTTTTTTTTTAAAGAGAGAGTAATAAAGGGAGAGAGAGAGAGAGAGAGAGAGAGAGAGAGAGAGAGAGAGAGAGAGAGAGAGAGAGAGAGAGAATTTTTTTAATATTTATTTTTTAGTTATTGGCGGACACAACATCGTTGTTTGTATGTGGTGCTGAGGATCGAACCTGGGCCGCACGCACGCCAGATGAGCGCGCTACCGCTGGAGCCACATCCCCAGCCCCTCAGTTGCTTTTCTCTGTGCAATTATATATATATAAACTGGGGTCACACTCAATGTATTATTTTGTGCCTTGCTTATTTTCTCTTAAAAATAAATTTCATTGATCTGTCAATTTCCAAAAAGTCCTCTTTTAGTCCTTTATTGGTTCCTAGTATCCTATTACATGAATAGATACTGATTTGTTTTAACCACAGCCAACTAATGGATATTTATGCTGTTTTCAATGTTCTGTTATTATTAAACTGGTACAAAAACAGTGTACTCACAAAGATGCTTTGTGAGATTGGCTGAGTATTGTCTTAGGAGTAATTCCTAAGAATTATAATAAGAGATAGGAGAAATTTTAAAGGCTTGGAATTTCCTTTTTAAAATTTTTAGTTGTAGATTGACACAATACCTTAGTTTATTTATATTTTTATGTGATGCTGGGGATGGAACCCAGTGCCTCACACATGCTAGGCAATTACTCTACCACTGAGCTACAATGCCATCCCTAGAATTTCTTTTTACTCATTTGGTTCTTTTTTTTTTCACACAGGAGAGAGAATCTGGGTAAGTTTCTCTAGGCTGTGATTTCTCCACCTCAGCATTAGTGACATTTGGGGTCAGAAATCTTTGCTTCAGGGGCTGCGCTGTATGGAAGAATATTGACTGGCCTTAGTCAACTAAATGCTAGTAGTATCCCTCCACATCCAGTTGTTTCCTAACATGGCCATATGTCCTCTGAGGGACAAAATTTCCCTAGTTGAGAACTACTGGTCAGTGTGAATTTTTATTTCTCTTGTCAATTCTAGCTGAAAATCTAGGACTATTGAGGGTAAGGATGTTTTCTCTGGGAAGATATGCACAGCCTTTGAGATGTACATGGGTGTCAACATAGAATTCAGGAGTCTTAACAAACAGCTGAGATGAAGGTCCCTGAGTTTTGCCCTCTTCCTGTCAAGCACAGAGCTGCTGGCTACCTGTCCTGCAACTCTAGTGTAGCACACGGCTTGCTTTATTTTTAGAAGGTGAGGCCATTTTCAGGTAAATGATTTGGTGCCAAGGGAAATTATTCTGTGCAATAAACACTAGGAATTTAAAAGAAAGCATCCTTTCTGCAGAACCTTCCATTTCTCTCTCTCTCTCTCTCTCTCTCTCTCTCTCTCTCTCTCTCTCTCTCCCTCTTGGAAGGAAAACAAATTATTCATTTATTAATTTTTTTTCTTTTATCTTGTTGATGTAAAGTTTGACAAGTTTTCATTTCTCTTCCTGGAAATTCATGGTTAAGGATAAAATCAAATCCATGTCATTTTCAAATTCTTCCATTTAGAACTCAGAGGCAAATTTAGTGCTTCCCCTCCCCACTTTAAAGTAATATTAGGGTTTTCTCCATTTTTAACATTAACAAATGGAAGATTTTGTTTTCTTTTAAAAGAATGTTTAGTACAAGGACAATCCAGAGTTCTGTTTCCGCTCTATCCTTCTCTGGTTGCTATTCTGGGAATGCAATACAATCCGTCTGTAAAATTGCACATAGATTCCAGCTGCGGACCAGGCTGCTGTGGTTTGTTACCACTTTTTGGTTTTGCTTTGTTTTTCCGTTTTATTGTTATTTAAACTGGAAAGGGGATTTGCTCCCAGACATCTTCCACTCTTGCTCCCCATGTTTCAGCATATATTTTAATGTGCATATATGGTATGTCTAGGTAGTACATGCACTGGAGGCCAGGACATTATTGCATTATTTAATCAGCTAGCCAATACAAGGAAAACTTTTATCTTCACTAAATAAGCAACCTGGATCACTTTCTAAGCCTCATATAAATAGCTCACATTTATTAAAAGTTTAGTGTGCACAGACTCTGGGACAGGGGCTTTGCTCAGACTATTTCAACTCTTTCTTAGTATAAGCTCCCAAAGCAGCTGCTGTTGTCTTTATTTTATAGATGGGGTGGCCCCAGAGCTAGAGCTAGGAGTCAGTGCAGTAAGAAGGGATGCTATTGGCCACACTCCAGGTGGCCTCATACTCTGTCACATGAGTGCATCTTCTCAAGTTGGCTGTAGGCTTGGCAGACCCTGCTGTGGCATGGGGAGATGGGAAAATGAGCTTTAAAGCTGGGCTGGAGGAGGCAGAGGCAAGGCAGGAACTGATCCTGCCAAAGTTCCAAAGCCAATTTACCACTTCCTAGAGGCATTTACCTCCTCAAAGATCAGTCATTTCAGCTCTACATTGGTTCTTTTTTGCCTTGTATATAAACCCTTTGAGAACTCTATGCCAACTATGGACTCTCTCACCACACGAGCCCATATTCACACCACGTTTTCCATGCAATGCCAGGGGGTTCTCGGATTCTCTGAAAAACCAATGCTCTGGAGGTTTCAATTTTGTTTCTATTCCATTGTTTCTAGAAGAAATGAAATATTTCTTAGATTTGGGAATTTCTCTTTTTCCTAAGTGGCAAAGCAAATAGCAAACTAAACAAAATGGAATAAAACAAGAGAGCAAAACACCACAATTCAATAAAATATCACTATTTTTGCTTCAAGAAAAGCACTGATTGATTAGTAAATAATTTTCCTCATGCCTTTCTTTCAAGTCCCACCAGCTAATGGTGTATTGGATTTCAAGCACCTACTAGAAAGGAAATGTTATGTTCATTTTATAGATGAGGAAGCTCAGACCTTCCCCACCTCCTTCCTCTTCCTCTGTTTCATCATAACAAGGTCATGCAGCAAGGTGTTGACAGAGCACATGTGAGCTTTAGGGCTACTTGACAATCTGGTTTAGTTCTCTTCCTTTTTGTAATCCATAAAACAGTGACAACAACAACTGGATAATATAAAGTAACAAATAGGTAAGAGAAGTTGGAAATGCTTTGTTTCTTGGCCTTATTTAATAATTAGATTTGCAGCCTTTCTCTAGTCTGTCCATTCTGTGTTCTCTTCCTGCTCATGCCAAACCAACTAAAATCTTTTAAACATAAAAACTTTTTCTTTTTTCTCTATCCCCACCCTTAACTTGCACTCAAGGAGTTTAGCTAACTCCTAACCCTATGCCATGATTATGTGGTCCATCTACTCAATCCCTTTGCACCCTTTGATATGTTGCTTACATTCTGTCTCCTACATGGAGCCATTCCTAACTCTTCTGGTCCATGTTCATTCCTGCTCTGAATTTTGACAGTGACTTTGCACTGCATTCCCTAACTCTACCTTGTGTCCTCACTTCTCCTGCACCTCCTAGATGCCACAGCATATCAGAACAGTCATTGGAAAAATTCCTAAATGGCAATAACTGGTTTAGAGGAACTCAGGGAAAGTACTCAGGACATACAAGACTCAAATACCAAGATTATCCTTAAATGGAAACATTTTTAAAAGGAATTGCTGTTTTCTGTATTGCTATTGATAAAAAGCTTCCTAACTCATTCTCTCCCTGTCTCAAATAAATCTACAGCATGAATTATATCACCTGTTACCAAAGCCTTCCAAATGTTCAGGTCTTAGTAGAAAGAATCACCTAACCCAACAGAGGAATGAAATACTCTATGAACATGGCCCAATTTCCTCTTATTTTCTCAGTACTGACTCTTCTCTGTAGTGTTTACTTGAGTCCAAGATGGCTGCACTGGCTGTTTGCTTTCATGTGACTTCAAACCTCTTCAGGGAAGCAATAATGTTCTTATGTTTCAATAATGTTCTTATTTTAATCATTAGTCCTTCATTTTGATGCAAGGTTAATCCAAGAGTGTCTGGAAACCTTCATGATCCCTTTCTTCTTTGTACAAATTTATTGTTACCAGGATATTTTTATATTACTTAAAGCAAATTAGGCCTAATACACTGTTTAGTGCCTTCAAAGAATTTATTTTTTGGAGATACAATCTTGCTATGTCTTGTACTTCTGGGTTCAAGCAATTTTCCTGCCTCATCCTCCCAAGTAGTTGGGACTATAGGTGTGCACACTGTGTCTGGCTCCTAGTTGGAATTTACATTCCCTGAGTTTAGATGATAAGATCCAGGTATAGGAAGGCAAATAGATTTGTCCAAGTACACATAGTCAGTGGATTATAGAACCACCAGAGCTTTACAATCAGGGGTAATTCTCACTGCTCTCAACCCAAGTAGAGACTTGGCATGTTTTGACATATTTTTGGCTGTTGCAGCTTGTGTTTTGGGCATATTACTACTGTTATCTAGTATGTGGAGGCCGGGATGCTGCTAAACAAACTACAGCATACAGGGCAGCATCCACAAGAGAAAATACTTGGTGCCAAATTTCAATCATGCAGAAACTAAAAAAACCTGAGATGTACCCTCAGAAGAATTTCAGTTTATTTCTTCTAAATCCTAGTTTACATTTCTTTTCTCAGTAAGTTAGAATGGCTTGGGTTTGAAGCACAGCTGGACATTTACTAGTCATAAAATCAATCTGACCACTAGCCATTATGACAACATTGTGTGAATTAGAAAAAGGAGGGCCTTCTTCATGATATTTTACTATCATCTGCTAGGATATTGTCCTAATAACTCTGCAAATCTACAGTGGCCATTAGGTACATGACACCTCCTCAGAGTGATGAAATGTATAAATGTGCCACATGCATGATCCTTAGTGAAGGTTCCCTGTGGGGTGCTGGGTAACTTACCTAACCCTTTTGGCCCTAAGTTTCCACCCTGAAACATGTAGACAATGATATCTCTTTTGCCTGTTAGAATTTCTTTGTGTGTTTGTGTATGTGTGTACAAATAAATATTTTATATAAATATATTTACTAAGCCAGCACATGGGAGGAGAGACATAAATTGTAGCTGGTATTACAACATGGTAAGTTTCTTATACCTATCAAAGAATGTTTTATTTGATCATAGGCAATGGAGTCTTGTTCAGCTTTGGAATGGAAAAATATCTGAAAATAATTCTAAAAAGGCAATATTGTATAAAGTTTGACTGGACTTTTCACTTTCCTCAATGCATTATTAATCACCTGAGACCCAACCTTCTTCTTCTCACATAGCACATAGGGAATGTCACAGAGGCAACGGGTGTACCTTCTGACATGAGGCTCTGTCTTTACCTAGTTATCAGGCAGATGACTCTATATTTTCTGTTAAATCTTCAGTCGATAAAGGCTGACACCCAGACAGGTAATATAACTACGTAACAATTATGAGAATTATAGTACTTCCATTAAAGAGCTGTGTATGCTGAAATGAGGTGTCAGGGTCATATTATGAAACCTGAAGCTAGCAGGGGTTTCACTAATTATAACTCCCATAGAGGTAAATGGCTAACTCAGGAAAGTTCCATTCTCACACTCACATGGAGGAGGGGGAGGAGAAATGCAGAATTGCTTTTCTAGATTAGAGTGAAAAAAATGCACATGACCATCTACTTTGGGAACTAAATTTGACAAGACCAGAACTGAATCCACAATATAGCTGAGCTCTGTTTAACAGTTATTTAAATAAATGTTCCTATGATTAAGTAAATTTGGGGAGGCTGTAGCTTCTTCTTGTTGATTAACAGTGTATGTTAGTTAGTATATTTAAGGGTTTGAGCCCTCCTGGGAAATCTGATGGCAAGGAGATGTTTGACTGCATGGGATCAGAGGGGAAAGGGCTTTTTTGTGAAAGTGAAGATTAAACACAATAACTGCTAGTAGGCCATTTAAAATAGAAGCCAACACTTCCTTTGTCCAAGGACGAAACCAAAAAAAAAAAAAAAAAAAAAAAGATCTTGAAAAACATTTTGAAGCATGAGAGTGACCAAACAAAAAATAAAGCCCCAAACCTCAGATCAGGTAATCACTGTGGACTGAGTCATATCTAGGTTCAACCAGAACATGCCTAAATGGTCTGTGGGATTATGCTTAACCTTCCTTTATCAGTTGACACTATGTGACATTGAGATGCAACAGCAAAGATTAGACCTTCCACTGTCCTCTACATCTGGTTTGGAAGAAGACTGACTCTCTATTGCATTCAGCAAATCCCTATTAATGGGGGGAGTTTTAAGGAGAAAAAAGACTCCTCTCAGTGAAGTTCTGGACTTCTTGCTCCTAGTACAGATGAGACCCCCAGAGACAAACTAACAAAGAATGGGATATCTTGGGCTGGGGATGTGGCTCAAGCGGTAGCACGCTCACATGGCATGCGTGTGGCCCGGGTGATCCTCAGCACCACATACAAACAAAGATGTTGTGTCCGCCGAAAACTAATAAATAAAATTCTCTCTCTCTCTCTCTCTCTCTCTCTCTCTCTCTCTCTCTCTCTTTCTAAAAAAAATAAATAAAAAGAATGGGATGTCTTATTTGGGCTCTAAGTTAAAGAATCAGATCAAACCAGTTACAAGGTTGGTAGCCTCCTCTCACCCCCACTGCTCTACTTTCACATGATTGCAATCACCTCTATAGCATGTTGTTTGTCTTCTCTTCACAAACAAAAATTCAGGGTCTTGAGTAAAGCATCATCATGGAAAATGACAGTCTCATTTGGAAGCATCCTTGAAGCATACAAGGAGGCTAATGTGCATTTAGGGACTGCCCTCCAAAGAAGATTTTGTATTGATTTCTTTCTTTATAGACAGGTCAGAGATGGAAGGTGTAATTTTCTTCAACTGATGGCCATATTAATGGATTGCCCTTTTAAAAATCAGGAGAAAGGAAGAGTCACATCATCCATGGAAGTGAAGGGGTCCATACCTCTTGCCCATCTTTGCTGACATTGTCATCAGCATGCCTGGCCACGATGGAAAGGAACTGCAGGAGGCGATGGAGGGTGTCGCAGTTGCAGGGAGGTAGAAGGTAGATGAGGAGCTGTAAGGTGCCCAGCTGTTCCTCTGGCTCCAACACTATGAAAGGCAGAGAGAATTGCTCTAAGTGAGAACGAGGGGAGCTCACATGGTTCAGACACAGAGAAGGAAGGGAGGAGGAATGACCTCTTTTCAACTGACTTAACAAAGAAGTTACCAAGGAAAGCCAGTTTATGCCTTCACCTTTCTCCCATTACTTTAGCAATTTAGTCATAAGGTTCTATGACAGAAAGAACAATTAGACCTGGGGAAATAGAACATCTAGAGACTTCATGAGAAAGACGGTTCTATTCCCCTTACTTTCATCTCCTTCCTTTCTCTGGCATTACTCATTCTGATTTAATGGATTTCAGTCTATGGTTGGTAAATATTTACTAACAATGGCCTCGAATTGATAGATGTTCTGAAATTTAAACTTATAATGGATTTGAGGTCGTTTCCTGTTGACAAATACACAAGGGACAGAGTTTTTTTTTTTTTTTTTTTTTGGTAATACCTGAGACATGTCACAAAGACATGGTTTTGTTGTTCTCTTGTGATCCCTTTTGAATCAAAGCACTGGAGGAAGACATGTATGCAGGATGACACAGCTCTGCCCTATCTCTCCTCTCCCTAGATCTCCATGGAGTCTTTATCTGCAGCCCCAGAAGCAGGTACATTAAAAGTCCTGAAATTGAGCTATGCCATCTTACTTCCCCTGAAATGTTTTATGCCCACTTTCCTCCTTCTACTTTCTTTGACTCCTTCTTCCTTGTACTAGAATTATCAGCTCATTTTTAGGCACAGACTCACTGTGATCTCTCACTGGTACTCCAAGCGTCAATTTATAGCACTTTTTCCTGTCCTGGGGGTCATTTGAAAGCATACCCAATTCTTCTTGACTATTTCCATTTGTTTTATTGCAAATTCTTCTTAATAATTCTACCTAAAGTAAACTTCAGAAAATTCCCCAAATACTGCATTCATTAGAGACTGATGAATAAGGACAAAAACAGTTGTTGGCAAACACATTTCATGAGTGAGCTGGACATCCCAGTATTCCAGGGATACTTTCCCACAAATATGGCTGTACTACGTACAGAGAGTGTTGATGAAAGCTGTGTACAGCTCTCTAGTAAGAAGGGGATCTGGCATGTCCCTCAGGAACTCCTTCAACAAGGCTGCCACATCATGAACACTGTGCTCTTCTTCCAGAGAGACGTCAATCCCACGGTCAAATTCCTCACGTAACTGGAAAAACAATGGTTCAAGTGGCAGTCACATAACATACCTCAATGTTCAGAGTCCACCAAAAGAAATGTTTTGATTTGTAACATCTGGTATTAAGTCTGCACAGACCCCAAGAAGGAAAAGTAAACAACATAATGCTTTGATCCTCAGAGATTACACAACCTGGCTATGAATATATATGTATTTATATCCATGACTACATGTAAATATACATACACATACATACATACACATTCCCATGACTAAGTATACATATACAAGTTTAAATGTCTTCTTAAATAAAACTATCTGTGCATTTCCTGTTAATGATGGAAGCAAGGGGTTCAAAAATCCCAACCAGAGTATTGGGAGGAAGGGCTAAGGGATAGAAGAGAACTTGGGTTAATTGTAATTATAGGAGGGAGAAATCAACCTATTGCACACTAGTTATGCATGTTACTAATTTTGATATGTTGGAATTTTTATATTTTATTAAGATACTCAACAAAAAAACTAGAAGACTATTCTGCAAATAATGAAACTAAAAACCCTGATAAGATATTTGTAACTAAGGCTTAAAAGATGACAAAATTTAAACAAAGGCTATCTTAGATTTGTCAATTACCAGAAGGATTCCCTGCCTTAATTTTTATACTAAGTCTATTAATATTTACAACAGCAGGAAAATACAACAGTAAGAAGAGCATAACAACTCCACATCATACTTTCATCTTTGACCAGCTCAATTTCTTTTATGCATTATTCTTCATTGTAGAAATAATTATGCAAGTCTATGAATTTACCCTATGCAATTAAGTATGCATATGAGAGCTCATTTGTTCAATCATTTATTCATACATTCATTCAACAAACATTTACTGCATTTTTCCTGTGTGCTAGACTCTATTACAGGCCTTCCAAGTACACTGGTATATAAAGACATATTCCTACCCTTCTCCATCTCTCAGACTAGTTGAGACAAAGTGATAAAGAGATAAACTCACAAATGATTAGCTATTCTTGTGTGTGTGTGTGTGTGTGTGTGTGTGTTTTGCTGGGGATTGAACCCAAGGCCTTATGCATGTGAGGCAGGCACTCTACCAACAGACCTATATCCCCAGTCCTAGCTATTCTTTTTAAAATAGTGTTCTGGGAAAAAAGAGTCCAGAGTGCTAAGGAGTGGTATAATAAAGTAGAATGGTGAGTGAGTTAGAACATATTGCATACTTGGAATCTAGTTCTAAGGAACCACCAATTCGATTTTATTGAGTAATCCTTAAATAAACCTCCATGCAAAGATTCTCCTTTAACTGGATCAAGATATGACTGATGAAAAATTTCGGGCACTCTCTATTTGTCTACCTGATGTGACTACCCACCATTATCCTGAATTGGTCAGTGATTCCAGACAACTCACTATCAGTGAGTGTCAGGAAGGTAGAATGGAGAGGGCTTCCATCAGCACTACTCCAACAGTGCTCATGGAGACACATGTTTCTTTGCTGAGCACACACATGCAGAAAGAATGGACTGTTCAAAGAGCTTGGCCAATAAAGTAAGAGTGACTAATTAAATTGTGTGATTTTTGAATTGACATTCTAAATTTCTCTAAGCCTCAAAAGAAGAGGGTGAGGGGGGCGACTTTCACAGCTGGTGGGTGGATTTATTGAGATGATATTTGTGAAAATATTCTGCAGTTCTGCACAGGTGAGAGGTCTAGGAAATGTTGCAATGCTATCTTCTTTCTTGCAAGTCCTCTTGTGAAATATAAATGTTGCTTAATAATCTTTTGTGTGATCATTAAGAATAAAAACCCACAAACCAATCAAAGAGTTTCTACTTCTGAAAGTGCTTTTCATCTTGATAAAAAGTGAGGGGCATTTATTTCAATTACTTTTGATAATATAAACAAATATCATTTCATCAGTTCCATCCAACTGAAATTTGTTTATATTTGGCCTTTTTTTTTGAGTTGGTGAGTTCCTTATTTCCTTCTGTTGGAACCAACAGAGGGGAAAATACCATTTAAATTTTGTTTCACTAACAAATGAACTATTTTTTCAAAGGATTCAAAGGATGGTTTGCCTTTTATGAAGCCATCATTAACACAGAGACCTGTCTGATCATAGGAACCTATTCTTGACAGTCTACTATCAAACTTCTGTTGCAAGAATGTTGTATAGTACTGAGGGAAACCAAGGACTATGGTTTCATGATAAAAGAATTGGAAATCAATTGTTCTGTGGAAGCTTAAGAATTATTTTGGGGGCTGGGGTTGTGGCTCAGTGGTAGAGCACTTGCCTAGCATGTGTGAAGAACTGGGTTCAATTCTCAGCACCAGAGAAGATAAATAAATAAATAAAGGAAAAGTCAAAAGAAAAAACAAAAACAAAAGAAAAAAAGAATCTTGAAAGAATAAATGCATAAACATAGTTATCTTATGTGAGGAGAATGTTAATGACATTTTTATGTCACATTTTAGTAAAAACAGGCACAATCATTTTCTACTTAGTATCACTTACTGATTAGGTACTCTCTGAATATCCTGCTTTTACACTTTCAGTAAGATGTTTATCAAATGGTTTTCTTTGACTGAACATGGCATGGACATTTCTACACAATTTCTTTAAATTGCTTGATCCTGACTCTATAACAACTTTTCTGAGCTTATGAGTTGTTGCATTTTATCTCCTAGAACTAAATTATACTATAATCAATTAGAGGGTACATAAAATATATTCAGAAGGTAATTTGCATAAACTTGAACTAGCACACGGGAATTCAATTAAAAGTCAAATGAAATGGACAATACACTCTTGATCTTTCACTTACTTGTCTCACTCTCTTTTTTGAGCTTCCTACTCGGAATATCCCCACTGTCTGGAGACCTGTAAATAAGCAAACACAATCAATAATCTTTGTTTTGTGTCTGGAGATTCTGGAGGAAATCAAAATAGAAAAATAACAGAATGCCATTACAGTACCATGCCATGCAGAGCAACAGTGGCTTTACAGTGTATACTAACACTTCCTTATCCCGTACTACTTATATTCTCTGGATGTCAAAGGGTTAGCACTTTCACCATCAGATTCATTCTGTATAAAGGTTTCTGATGAAAAATTTCCACATGATATTATATATTTCTGCAACTTCTCCATATGAGAGAAAAATTGTAACATTTTTCCATTTTTCAGAAAATTACCTAAATGTGAATTTTATATGGATTTTAGTTTTTATCATCAACTTTAACATAGATGTCTCTTATTTGTCTAATCACTAAAATGTATCTCTTAAGGAAAATCTACAAAATGCAGAAAAATGTAAATAGTACTTTAAAGATACCTAATACAGAAATAATTACTTAAAATTTTGGTTTATTTTTATCTAGTCTTTTATATCTATATCTATATAAACATAAATTTATATCTATGTATATATAATCATATCTGTATATAAATATGTAACTACATAAAACATATATATTTACATATATACACACACACACACAGACACACACAGATATATCTATAGAGAGAATGCCACCACCTTCCCTCAATATTTTGCCACAAATCTTCATGTCATTAAACACTCCTCCTTTGTAAATGTCATGTGAAATGGATGCAAACTACTTTGTTGTATGAATGGACCATGATTTGCTCCAAATTTCCCCCAAATGGTGTGTAAGTCTCCCCAAAATACCCAGACTTGCTTTGTTATGATAAATGGCCCTACTCAGAACAAATCTGTTCGCATGTCTTTGATCACATTTCTGATTGTCTTAGGATCATGTCCTAGATGTGGAATTATAAGGTCAATGCATTAAAAAAATTACCCTACCTACAACATAAGTAGTATTCTAAAAATTAGCTCTAAAAAATCTCTATTTTTTTAAAAAATGTAGTATCACTACCACATAGTAGAAATTTCAACAATAGTTCTTTAATAGTATTAAATTTACAGTTAACATCCATATAAGGTTCACAAAGCATGACATCGTCAATGTGTCTTTAGTCTCTTAATTCACATGTTCCCCCCTCCTTCTGGCTCCCCCTGCTACATAATAAGGGGTTTGACAAACAGCATTGATTTCCCACTTTATATCTTCCAATCATCTGATTTTATATCCTCCAATCATCTGTATTTGGACACTATGTGGTTTCTCTATCCCCTTTAACTCCTATAAAGAGATAGTTAAGGTGTAATTTTGGGGTAAGAATACTTTACAAGAGGCATTGTGTTCTTCCTTCAGGGGGCATAGAATGTCCAAAAGGCTCTCCATGTTCCTTTGTGAGTCATTAATCATTGTCACTGATAGGCATCATCTATACTTATTGTTTCATTGGTGGCACATTCTCTCTTCATTTGGGGATAATCAGTTATGAGAATGATGTCAGACTGAAACTGCTAATGGCCATTCAAAGCCATGTGAAGACAGATGATCTGAGAGTAAAGCCATAAAACAGACCACTCATGGCATTATTCAAATCCTGGATTCAGCTGAACCTAGATCTGACTCCCAAGTTATTAATAGGGACTGTTAGTTTTTTCAGGAGGAGAGCATTTTGTTTAATATAGTTTTACTGGGCTTCCTTTCTCCTGCCAATAAAATAAATTAACTTGGAAAGAATTAAAATCATCATAATATCATTTCTTTTCACACAGAAACAAAATGTACCTCAATCTGTAAGTCATGTTTTATATATCTTGGTAGAGTTTTGCAGTTTTCTTCATGGAAGTTTTTTTTACATATCATTACAGAAATTCTGGGTATATGTTTTTATATTAATATGAATAATTTTATTATTGTAGAACATAATTGATTATTGCTTTTAAATTGAAATAAATATTTTATATATTAATTTTATGAACTTGCCATATTAATTGTTAACAGTTTTTTAGTTGGCTTTCCAGATGTTTTTAAAATCAGAAAAGATAATATCTATAAATATCCCATTTATCAGTTTTGTATCTTAAAGTATTATCCTAGATTTCCATAATAAGTTAAGAGAACTGCACTGAAAAGCTGGTTATTGCTGATTTGCATAAGTACAATTTGATGCTTTGCTTGAGGATGAGATGTTGCTTTGCATCTATTTCTCAAAGGACTTCCATCTCCTTGTCACTGCCATCAATTATTACACCTGATAACATTTTTTTTTTGGTACTGGGGATTGAACTCAGGGACATTCAACCACTGAGCCAAATCCCCAGCACTATCCTATTTTGTGTTTTATTTTGAGACAGTTGCTTAGCACCTCGCCATTGCTGAGGCTGACTTTGAACTTGAGATCCTCCTGTCTCAGCCTTCTGAGCTGCTGGGATTACAGGCATGTGCCATCACACCCGGCTGTGCACCTGATAATTGAAGCCAACTCCCAGTGTAATTTATTGCTACTTTGTCTCTGGGAGTTTGAAAACAGAATAATTAAGCTATTTAGAATAAAATAAAGAATTATATTTTTCATGTCAAAATGAGCATACCAAGTATCCCTTCAAAATTCATGCAATGATTTAATTAAATAATACATGTAGAATACTTAATACTCATTTACTTCATTCAGGGTCTGTTTCTCCATATATAATAGTATGCAGAAATAGACCCTGAATGAAGTAAATGAGTTGTCATATGTGCAAACTAAAAAAAGTTAATGTAATAGGAACTTTTAGTAATTTTAATTTTGGCTACACTTAATTTCTTATTCTCAGATGATTTCTGAATGGTTGAAATTTCTACAGACGTCAGATATCACATAGAAATTTTCTATAGAGGTAGGACTATTCACTTTTTTAAAGAGAGACAGAGAGAGAGAGAGAGAGAGAGAGAGAGAGAGAGAGAGAGAGAGAATTTTTTTAATATTTATTTTTTAGTTTTCGGCGGACACAACATCTTTGTTTGTATGTGGTGCTGAGGATCGAACCCGGGCCGCACGCATGCCAGGCGAGCACGCTACCGCTTGAGCCACATCCCCAGCCCGACTATTCATTTTTCTGAATTTCTCCCATCTGTTTTGAAACATTCATTTAAATTACATCATCTCTGCAGTTACTGTACTATTTCACATTTTAAAACTGGTTTAAAAAATAATTCATTAGCCAGGCATGGTGGCACATTTCTGTAATCCCAGTGCCTCAGGAAGCTGAAGTAGGAGGATCTCAAGTTCAAAGCCAACCTCAGCAATTTAGTGAGACCCTGTCTCAAAATAAAACAGGCTGAGATGTGGCTCAGTGATTAACTGCCCCTGAGTTCAATTCCTGGTACCAAAATAAATTAATAATAATAATAATTAGCAACTAGAGATTGACTGCCATAATTCCTATGTAGTTCAATGAAGTATAATCTGAGATTTTTTAAAATTTAACTTTTTGAGGTAGAACTAAGATAATCTTTAGACAGTCAATGCCTTTTTCTGACATAGCCTTACAGTGATTTTCCTCAAAGAGAAGATACAGTCTAGGCATTCAGTAACTATGACTTAAGACAGTCACTGATTAAAAACAGGGAGACAATGAAAAGGAATAGATCTGATAAAGAAATGCTACTGTCCCAGAAATTGATGTGATCATCTTTCTCCCCTTTTCATTAGAAATTGAAATGGAAACTAGACCCAAAAGCACCTGAATCTCAAGCTTAGGGGTGTCAAGAAACCAGGGCAGGCACAATAAGTACTAGGTCCCATCTGAAAATCAGCCTAAATCCCAGAAATATAATTTGATTCTGCTATATTTTTGTCTTTTTTATGGAAATGTGTACTTCTGGGAAATTGAGGATGTATAAGGAATTTTGACCTAAGTATAGAAAGCATTCCAATGAAATATAAGTGAGGAAGTGTTGGGTACATGAATATAGATGGGGCCAATACAATGGTCAAAGACCAATTTTGGAGAGGGTGAAAAATCCTCAACAAATGTTTATAGGACTAATATGATTCATGTCCTCTGCTACCCAGTTCAAAAACAGGCAAATAAAATATTATGTAAGAAAGTATTCTGAAGTTTGCTTTTTTCCCCCATTGGTTTAAAATGACCAGTCTTAATCTATTTGAATGTCTCTTAATTTTCTAGAGCAATTTGGTTGAAATATCATAGAAACCTGGAATATAATCAGAGCCTTGGAAGGCCAAAAGATTCTTGCCTTTAGGCAATAAGCTATATGTTAACTCTTCTAACTATTCCTTGTTAACTATTCCATTTTTATTACTAACAAATAGATGAGAATGTCAACAGTAACCATGTCTGCATGATAGCCTTAGAATTTTTGTTAGTTTTCATATTTTTATTGTAATAAGCATATTATTTTTAGAGTAAAGAAATAATTAAGAAACTTTTTCCATGTTCATAAATACATGTTCACACTATAGCAAACAAATTTACATCATGAAAATGGCAGTTTGGTGAGCCAAAAATCTAGATTGCAGCAAAAATTTTAAAGAACTCACCATCATTTCAGTGCCAACATATTAACTGTAATTTAGTTGCAAAGGATTACTGTGGAGAAATTTTAAGTTGACATTATCTATAAAATGGCAAACAGCCATATGTAAACCCATAGTCAAAATAGTATATTTTCTAGTAACCTAAGCAATGATTTTTAAAATATGTTTTAAAAAATAAGCTGAACTAGTATTTTTAGAGGAAACTTTATGAGTAGCTTCAAAATATATATATTTTGACTCTGTTCTGTTTGAAGGTGGGCTTGCAGACAGAAGGTGGGCCCAGCCCAATAGAAGTGGCCCTTTCCTAAATTTCTTGCCCAGAGTCACTTCTGAGAGCTCTTGAGGGCTGAGCTATCCAAATACCATCAAATTACCCCCAACAAAGCTTGCTGAGCCTACAATCCCTTAAACAAACATTCACATCTGTTCACTTTCTTCACAAAAGTAAGTCTGGTGAAGAGCCCAGTCAAGGAAACTCCCAATCAAGGGAACACAGAGTCAAAATTAGATGCTTAAAGGAATGGTGCTGACAGACAAGTCTACTTACCATGTTTTTCCAGATGCTGACAACAGCTGTCCACCAGCCTTGGAACCTGTCTGTAAATAGGATTCAGACTGAGTTTCTTATCTCTGGCTTTCTCTTTTTTATTTTGAGCCTCAGCAGGCAAGGAGAGTTGTAATGCTTCTAGTAGTCGAGATTGGTTGTCATCCAGATCGGTGATAGAGTCCACTGACATGGCACCCTATAGATAACATACAGACTTGAACAAGAGGACAGAGAAGAAAAATAGCTGCCTCCAGATTCTATGCAATCAATATTTTTGCCCATTATTATTTATTACTCCTAAATTAATACCACTTGATTTAATCAATTTTGCTATATGTATCTCAAAAGGAAAACAGTATTTTTTGAATAAGTTAGAAAATCTCCACAACATAGGGTAAAATATTGACAGTTAAAGTTTCAACAATAGACAAAATTTTCCAAATGGAAGACAAGAGATGGGAAACATATAATTAAAATATTTTGACCCAACCACTTCATTTTATGAAATAAGAAAAAAAATCACATACTCAATGAATGAGGTAAAGTCAAAGAAGTCTTGTGAATAAAAATTCCCTTAAATGTGGCCCTGGGAAGCATATTTTTAAAATAGGAAGATTCTGTAAAATAGTCTTATTTTAGTTTCCTCCAGAAGCACATAATGTACTTTATTAGGAGGTTTCCCAGGAAAGACCTACAGAGGGAATGAGAAAGGGAAGGGAAGGCAGCCCAGCAAGGGAAAATCATCAAGCCTGTTAACATTATGGGCAACTGTAGGTCCATCTCCCTGGAGAACCCCAGGAGATTGTGTAGATAGTGCCCTAAGGAATGAAGGAATCAGTATGTTTATACACTAAGTTTCAGGAATCATTAAGGAAAGCCTTTTGTTGGGGCAGAGAAGAGAACTTATCTCCTTAGTATTTAAAACTTGCTATCTGCTTGTTTTGGGAGCCCCTGGTCATCAGAGCAAACCCTCAGCAAAGAGTTGAGGTGCTGGCAGATGGAAAGTGGGTTGGCATGCTTGGAATGATAACCATGTGTACTGCAGCCACCCATCTGTGATGAAGCATACAGGAAGAAGTTGGCTGCTGGTGTCCTATTAGAGGCTGGACAAAGGAGAGGCCATTTGGAAAGCCCACTGTCTAGGCTCTAGATTTTCAGAAAGCTAAAATTTACAGTTTTACTATTAACTGTCATTTGAGTTTATACCCAGTGACAGGCTTAGATGAACAAATTCATTGTGCAAATTCAATTATTCCATAATTTTGTCATTTCTTCACTTTTAAACATAGTTGGTACTACAGTCAACACAGGGCACAGGTCTTGCTTTATCTTGGAGAAATTCTCCATGTTGGTAGCTGATTGATAATTATGGATTTTAAGTTTAGGTCATGTCTGCAATTTTTATTAGGGCAGTCTTCAATGGATGAAGGTCACAAAGATTTAGGGCCTCCAGGCAGAGGAAATGGAGCGATCTCTCTTCCGTGACCAAGGAAGTCTTAGAGATGCTTGTCTGACTCAGCCAATTGTCAGATAAGTATCTGCCTGCTTGAACAACTCAGCTTTCCAGGTTTGAAATTTAAAATGCCAAAATAGCACAGTGTCTAGAACATAGTACTCATTTGATGACTGGTACCATATTATTATAGTATTGATTTGAAAGAGGCCACATGTAGGATCCTATGGTTCTATTTAAGGGAAAAATGCTCGGTTGAAAGAAAAAACTATCTTTGTTTATGAAGACCCATAGTCAACTCTTTTGGTCAGGCACATTCTCAGATAGGTAGTGAAGAAATTAACAAAAACACTGAGTCCTGTCCTCAAGCTTCACATATAGTGCAAGACAACAGATGATAAAGACAGACCAGGATCAGTGGCAATAGTGTAGAATGTTTAGGTTGTCATGGAGTACAGTGGTAACAAAGGGGTGACACCCAACAGCTTTGAGAGGAGTTGGAGAGAGATTTAAGGATGTGCCAGCTGCTCTATGTGCAGTACAAATGCTCTCTGAAGGAATGGACCCAAGCTACATATTCAGTCTTCACATGAAGAAAGACTCGAAGAATAATCTTATACATCTTCCGTGTTCCTAACATTAGTGTTGCAAAAAATTCTGGCCAACTCACCCTCCTCCTGGCCCGAGGAGCTGGTTCTGGGGTGTTTGGGGATGTTGACTCATTTGGTGTTTCTGAGGTTGAGCTGAGAGATGAGTTACTGCTTGAGAGTTCTTTGTTTTGTCTTTTATTTCCAAATGGGAGGAGGGAAGCCACAAAATCAGATGCATCCTTCTGCTCATCCCTCTGAGAATCCTGCTTGAGTTTGTAGGCCCGGTCATTGGCAATGACTTGGGATAAGGGCATTCCAAAAGCTTGTGGGATGAATTCTGGAACCAAAACCGGGACATTCACATTCAGAGACTTCATAGACCAGTGAAGACACTCATTTACATGTCAGACCAAAGGGCAAACATGTTCAAATGATAGTTTTCTGAAGAACCAATTAATCAATCAATAGACAGAGATGACTTTGTGTTTATCAGAATGGCCAAAGTTATAATTTCAATCAAGAAAACTAGTTGGTATAAATATGCATTTTGGAAATCTAGTTATCCAGTTTTTTTCCTGTGTGCCTTGAGTCTGTTTTAAAGGAAATAACTTTAAAGAGAAGTGTGACATTTTTAATAGAGATCAATAGTACTTTATGCTCATGAATACACAGTTTCCAAACTCAGTCTTTGATTTGTATGTTTCAGAAGTCTCCGAAGGCTAGAAGACATGTGGTGACTGCTCTTATCCATTCATTAAGAAGTATTTATTGAATACCTATTATGTGCCATGTTAAGCCACACATTGGGGATGGATATAAAGCTTATAAAACACCCCGTCCTTGCTGGTTTAGGGGTTCAGAGTTTAGAGTGGGGTTGGGGAGTGCAGAGTCAGATATTTAAATAATTATAATAAAGTGACTATCATGTGTTATAATATATACATGGAGCAAAGGCTGAAATTCAGTTAAGTAGGTACACTTTCAGGTTCCCAAAATAAAAAGCAGCATGCTAAATGAAAACCTGAGAGGCAGAGGAGGAACTTAGGAACAAATTTGCTCATTTTACATTGTGTTCCTCGTTCCTGTATCCCACCTCCAGCCAGCTGGGTTGTGCCTGTCACCCTCATGATCTTTACTCAAGCCATTCTAGTGGCCATATGTAGAGATGGACTACACCACAATGTATGTGATGGGGAGGCTCAGGATATAATTTTTTAAATCCTCTAATAAGGAAGGGGCACAATGCAGAAATGCATGATACTATTTGGAGATGTACATATAGTTATTTGCATTCTGCATCTATGTAGTAAATCCATTTGTATACATATATATTGGATTCTTAGGGCCAGATATTTTGCTGGCAATATTTTAGATTCATGCTAAAAATGCATTAATAATTCAATCAAGGGCATTATTCCTGTTAGGCTCAAAATTAGTCTCCTAGCAGCAGCAAATTGGAGTCTAGTTTCTCCCTTGTTTTTATAAGCCCTATGAATGAAACCAGAATGATCAAGGGAAAATATTCTAAGGTTCTTTGTTCAAGGGAAAATAATTCCAAGGTAGTTCACTAACATTAAATCAGGTGGAAATAGGCTTTAAAAGGCTTTACTCTTTGATTCATGGCAAAATTTTAAACTAGGCTAATGGCCAAGTAGGCATTAAAACAAGAAATGCTACTTTAAAGGCTTGTATCTCTGGTTCTATCAAAACATGCAGTTTGTTTTGAAGTAAAAACTCTAACTTGACTTGGGGATTTTTAGAGGTGCTTGTCATTTAGTATCAACATACTAGGTGACATGAGATAATAAAAAAGTTAAGCATCTGTCCACTGAGTGATCAATTTGGACAGTGTAGCAAGATCTAATATTCTCTACTGACAAAAGGTCAGTTCTACTACTAGCAAAATTAGAAAGCAAAAGGGACAATATCAGACACCAGCTGCATACCCTGAGGATTTATTATACAAATTAGTGCTATCTTGTCTGTGGAAATAAGCAAATATTCTTACTTCAAAAAGAACATTGAAATGTATGAGGTGCCACATGTCTGCTCATGTTAGGCAGACATATAGTAGGGAAAGGGACTACTGAATCTTCTGCTAGCCATTTTTTCCATATAAGGAAACCTAACCAGACTCATTTAAATATTTTTAATATCTATGGAAGAAGGAAAAACTGTAGTTTCCTTTGGAATCTGTCATTTTTTAGTATCTGAAAGTCTGTCATTCTACTAATTGGAATAATTTAATACCAATTAAACAGATTAAATACATGAAGTCATTCACCTTCACTTATTCTTCCTCTTTTATTCAAGAGATGTAACCACCCACAACAGAGTTTTATTTCTCTCTTTAAGGCTTTATTTTCTGGTTGAGTTTATTTCTTCAGTGGTAGAGTGTGGATGTTGTCTCCTTAGTTTCTTATTGCTTTCCCTGAGGACTCTCACAAGCTTCACAAAGGAGAACTCTCTCTGCTCTAATATGTAGTGCAGTGTCTATGCAGTCTCTCTAAAATTTTAGGAAGGATTCCTGAATATTATTTATTCTTGAAAATATGACTATTGTCAAAGAGAGGACTCATTACCAGTCTACTGAGCAAAAGCCTTGTTTATATGTAAATAAAGCATTGGGTACACATGCCTATGTATGGTTTCAAAGCTCTTCTGTTGGATGGGGAGGAACTTTGGGACTCCTCATGTTGACAAAAGCTAAAATTGATAATTGGATTTTAAGAGTACAAGGAAATTACCCAAGATTATCTGTGCTGGGTCAAGGCAATGGATATCTTGTTCTAGTCCATGGCAAGTGTTCAATGAGGAGACTGTTCCCCGGCTGTTCTCATCAAGTAATAGCACTCCATAATGACATTCAACATATTTTCTTTGAGAATTTCTACATGGTGATAACTGATACTTGATTTTTATATTGCTATTTAATATGAAGCAAAAATAAGGATTGTATCAACTATTCTTTATATAGTGTTACTTCACAGCTCATATATAAGACATACTTGGACAGTGAGTAACACTAAAACAGCATTATAGGATTTCAGAATAATAGGATTTCAGCATAAAGAAAGGGGCCAGAACTGGAGTACTGTCAGATTTTTTGTTGATTAATAATACATGGCATAATGTGTCAATGTCCTGAGGGGAGGGGATGTATCCCCACAGTAAAACCTAATCCTATGTGCTCTGATTAAGAGGCACAGTAACTGGAACAAAGTAGCTATTTTTAAACTATCCCCCCAAACTGATTTCTTTTTTGACATAAGAAAGAAATTTTCTTAAGTTCTGAAAGTTTTACAAATGCTTTCAGTTGCCAAGTAATTAAACTAAGAGAAATTAAGTGTGTGGGACTAATCTATATGAAATGTTTTCTGAATCAGTGTTAATCTTGAATTAATTTCCATCACAGAGATCAAAAGGTAAATACGAGCATTGCTTGAGTGGCAGGAGGGACATGGGAGTGTCACATGATCTGCTATGTATTTTATCAAGGCAATTAAATAACATGCAGAACATGATTTGTTCTGATAGTATCAATTAATGTAGTAGCATATTAAACACTTGTGAATCACTCTTTATTGGGACAGCAATTTGACTCTGAAAAGCTGCTCCTCTTTATTTTTAGATGGCCTAACCCAAGAGGTCATTTAGAGTTTCCTGTTTTCCTTCTTTTACTCTTGGACCCAAATGATCATTTTTCACATGCACAGCTGTTATGAACCCAAATACTAATATTTAGTGGGAAGGAAATAAAGTGTACTGATCACCACTGTGCCAGACTAGCACATTGGTGCCCTCACACTCTGGTTCCCAGGCTATCCTCATAATGGCTTCCAATGTTGACATGAACAGATCTTTATGTATAGGAAATGCTATTTAATTACTCTTCACTTAAGTCTAAGATACATTGGGTTTCAACATCAAAACTACTTTATGCACCAATAAAAATGTGAATGAATGAAAAAAAATACTTTATAAAAAATCAACACTTTGGTCATGGAGCCTGATACCTTCCCTTTAGTTGGATGAGTGATATGTCTTTGAAACCATCAGGAGCTGCCATTTTTTTCCCTCAGTGAACTCTGCAGGGCAGTATAGAACATGGCTAAGCTTTCACTGAGCCTACATAAATATGATTTGGTCTGGAAAATGTATAATAGACCAGTGTGTATTGGTCAATTACTTCCTTGTCCTTTCCTTCCTGGATCTTCATGTTTTTACTTCCTGCTATTTTATATATAGTAACAAGGCAGCACATGTACACACACACACACACACACACACACACACACACACACACAATGCAAACATCTATCTTCTCCTGCTAAAATGCTCATTATGCTTAGACTAGCCTGAATATGTACTTTCAAAGAATCACCTAAAATCTATGTTGTATTTAAGTTCCAGTATGTATATCTCTATCCTAGATCAAATGAACATTAAGAGTTAATACATTACTAATTCAGAAGTAATCCCTTATCCACAGTCTCACTTTCCATGGTTTTGGTTACCTGTAGTTAACTGTGGTAAAAAAATACGAAATGGAAAATTCCAGAAATAAGCAATTTATAAGTTTGAAATAGCTTTTATTATAGTACATTGTAATAATCAATCTATTTATTATTAGGTATTGTTGTTAATCTCTTACTCTGCCTAATTTCTAAATTAAACTTTATTGTACATATGTATGCATGGGAAAAAACATACTATATGTAGGGTTTGGTCTTAAAACCTGGCAGGAGAATAAGCCTAAGCACAGCTCTACATAGTCATCTAAAAGGAAAAAATGATGTGTGTGTGTGTGTGTGTGTGTGTGTGTGTGTGTGTGTTTAGTGTTACTTAAGATGTACACTTTTGTCAGTTCTATCAAAAGTAAGTAAAGCTGGAGCCTATAAAGGAGGGTTCTTGTGTAGGAGTGCTTAATAATAATGATCACAAAGGACTCTGGAGTCACAAGTTTGTCCTGAATTAATTTGAGCCTGATCTCAGACCTACAAGTCTTCCTGATCTCCTACATTGATAAACTTGATCTGTTTTTCATTGATATGATTATGAATTACTGTCTTCACAGTTTTCAGAGACTGGCTAAAATACTAATTGCTTTGGTGTAATTGTTTACAAAAAAAGTAATGCTTTGCTGTCTTGTTTATTGTTGTCTTAGAATGATACCTGCCCTATGTATGCCATGTCCAGTCACCTGCCATCTGCCACTGTGGATCTCTGATGCTAAATGCCTTTAACTGTTCATGCCTCACCTGATAGAGAAAATTACTTTGGTTTACTTCCTCTAACTTTACCTTCTTTCAGCAGGAAGCAGCTTGGAGATGTTGTCGCCTATTTTCCCATAGAAATGGAACGTAGGAATTGACAGTGGGAAAATGTTAACAGTGGTCTACTTTATGCTTTGAATATAACCCTTGCTGCTCTGCCACAGCAGCTTATTTTTAAAATGGATGTGTTTCTTTCTCTTCCTCTCTTACTGCTCCTCCCTAAACTCTCCCTCCCCGCTCCAATCTCAAGGGAAACAGGATTACCTTTCTTCCCAATTTTAGGCAGATTTATCTGTCCATGAGTACACACCCACCATAGGAATGAAGTAATCCAGACTTTGGGGATGGTGCCAGATCTCAGAAATATCTATCTCCCAAATTAACAAGCGAATTACAACTCCAACAGAGAACACATGGAATGTAGCCTTTGAATCACCTCTTTAAAAAGAGCTCCATTCCTGCTGATGGGGAGAATCACAGCCTCTGGGACAGCAGTTCCCTGTGTTTCTCGTTTGCTAGCAAAGCAATAAAACTTCTTTTCCTTTTTACGCAAAAAAACCACCCATGCTCTAGGTACCCTTGCAGACTGAGGGACTCAGACTCCCTGCATGGGGATCTGGGCATTAGTTTTTTGCTATTTTTTCTTTGCTTGTTTACAATACCGGAGATTAAACCCTGGCCTTCATGCATTCTAGGCCAAATGCTATCTTCTAAGCTAGACCTTGATAATTAGGATTTTTAAAAGTTCCACCTTTATGTATGTCTATAAAGCACTAATTTAAAAAACTATAAATAAATAGAAGGAAGACCAGTGAGTAGAGAAAAGGGAACAAGGAGAGGGAAGAGGGAAGGGAAAGGGGAAGTACTGGGGACTAACTTGGAGCAAATTATATTCCACATTTGCATGATTATGCCAAAATAAACACCACTATTCTGTATAACTACAATGCACTATTATGAAAGACTTTTAAAACATTCCACGAATCATCATACTGTGTAGTCAGGGGTAAGGAAGGATTGCTGAAACTTTCACCTTTTTTTTCTCCCATCTGAGATAAACACTTGAAATCTCTGAAGATATTTTAGTTGGGGGCAATGCTACTGGTATCTAGATAGTAGAGACCAAGGATACTACTAAATATCCTATGGTGCACAGGACAACCCCTGCCACACAGGTTTTTCCCATCTAAAGCATCAAATCCTACCAAGGGTGAAAAACCCTGCTCTAAGGGAAGCAAAACAATGATTTTTCCATTCTTTACAATTATTTATCTCTAAACATGATGAACCAAATGTTATGATCCTTAAGGCACAGTTCAAGGTAGATTCTGGTATCTATAGTGTGGAATAGGTCTTGTCCAATATTGATCATAAATGCATTTTTAAAATATCTGTTATTTAGTTGTTGATGGACCTATATTTTATTCATTTATTTATATGCGGTGCTGAGAATTGAACCCAGTGCCTCACACATGGGAGGCAAGTGCTCTACCACCAAGCCACAACCCCAGCCCATGCATTTATTTTTAAAGCCCTTGGATTCATTGCTTTCCATGCAGAAATCCAAATACTATATAAAAGAATTCCAAGGTAAGAATTGTGTCTGTTCTCATTCATCATGCAATTACTGATTCCCATGAAATGACTATACATTAATAGGACCACAACATTCAGAAATCATCTAATATAAGACTCTAAGCGAGAGCCACAAAAAATTGACTGTGTTAATGAGGCCCAGGTTTTCATTAGGCAGGCTCAAAGAATATTAATTAAAAATGACCATAAAAACCCTGAAAGAGGGACTCAAGTGTTAGTTCCCTAAATAGACATAGAAGGGACACAAAACAGTGTGATGAGAGTCAGCAATTCCTAAAACATAGGGGACAAAAAATGATCATGCTATGATCTAACATAAAAATGCTGCGAATGGCACATCTTCAGTAACCCAGGAGGCTGAAACTGTTTCTCTCCAGTAGTCATGGTAGGATAATCCAAACTCTTTCTCGTTCAGCTAGCCCTGCCTAACTGTCTGGATTCGCCAGACAGCTGGTTAGTGTTAGTGATGCTGTCCATAGCTACTTGATCCAGGTCCTCTTATGCATAGCTGATTGGCCAGAATAATTGGAACCACAAACTTGGCAGAAGTCACACTCTGCTCAAATGAGCTGAATTCATCAATTCAGTACAGGGATATTCAAACAGAGAAGAGTAGACCAAATGTCCCTTAATGATATTCCATCATAGAAATCCAGTTTACATAATAAAATTAAACCACATACATCTATGCAATTCAAATCCCCACCAAATTCAACCATTATGCTCAATGGAAGATACATTTGTTTTATTTATTTCATCTTTTACCTCTGTCTTTGTTTTTCTCCTTTCCTAGTGAATCCAGTTTCTTTCTCAAAGATTTCTTTCTTTTTTGGCCATCTGTAAATATTAAAAGAACAGGAAGTTATGAAATGAAGTATACAAGTGATTTTATATTATCAATAATTACATTTGAGCAAAAGTATGACCTCTTTCTTACTTCACTCATAATTTGACATTTAGGAACATCTCTAAGAATGCATGAATATCCCTGATTTGGATACTACGTATAACCATAGTCTTGATGTACACTCTTAAAATTTCTTTCAGTCATGGAAAGTATAGAAAACTTCCCTCCTTCCAATGTAATTTAGCTTTGACATGTAGATATGTTTGCTTTTATTATTACATAAGTCTCTTCAATTCTCCAGGGTTATACAAATCAATGTCCATCATGAAGCAAACATCCTTTTTTTTAAGAGAGAGAGAGAGAGAGAGAGAGAGAGAGAGAGAGAGAGAGAGAGAGAGAATATCTTTTTTGTAGATGGCCGCAACACAATGCCTTTATTTTTATGTGGTGCTGAGGATCGAACCTGGGCTGCACGCATGCCAGGCGAGCGCGCTACTACCCGAGCCACATCCCCAGCCCCAAGCAAACATCCTTAAGAGAATTAATAATACATACAGCTTTGACATCTGTGATCTAGTACAGTATCATTGGATAAGGAAATGGATTTGCGGATCCACAAAAACATAGGTTTAACTATCACTATGCCATTTACTTTGGGTGTGACTTTGGAAAAGTCTCACCATTCTTATCTATAAGATGAGAATGTTATGGGGTTATTGTGAGAATTACATGAAACAATGCACATGTAGTACTTAATGTGAAGCCTGATACAGCTTCACAAATTCATATCTCCTTCCTTTGTGGGGGTTGAACAGTAGCCCATGACATGGTTGCATCATAATTTAATTAATAATTTCCCCATTGATGGATGTTGGGGTTTCTATTTTTTCACTATAATAAGTAAGGAATATATCATTTTATTATCTGGTACTTAAATGTACTTAATATGTGGGACTGGGGATATAGCTCAGTTGGTAGAGTGCTTGCCTCACACGCACAAGGCCCTGGGTTCAATCCCCAACACCACAAAAAATGTTCTTAATTTGTTTGTTTAAATTGCTAACTAATAAATATAGCCCTCGCATCAGTGGGCAGCTGCAGTCGAATTCCTGGGGTGTCATCATAAAATATTGGCCCTGATCATTGCCAGAATGTGTTTTGGAATTATGCAGCTGTCAGTTTAACTTGTGGGAGGTGTGAATCAGGAATCTACATTGTGATTGCATGACAGTCATGAAGCTGATGCCACCCGGAAACTCATGTTTAAAAGAGGGATTAAGAATTGATTTACAGGGCACACTAAAAATGTAATAAGGAAAGATGGTCAGCCTAATAAAATTTAAAAACAATACTCTGGTATCAAAGAAAGAGTAAGCATTCTGAAACAGTAATGAGCATTCTTGGGATCCTCACAGGGTTGCAGATGTTCCTGACTCCTCTAAATTTTTGGAGGCAAAAGAACATCACAATATAGTCAATAAGCACATTCAATTCTGCCTCCCTTTCAATATTTCAAAAATGATCCTCCTTCCACAAAATGAAAATAGTTCATAAGTGTTCTCAACCTTTTCAGTTATGAAATTTGCATAGGGGAAAATTATGTAAATCAGTTGTAATGTGGCAAAGAGTCATCAATCTCTTTCATCATTTATGCGTTCCTATCCTCAATATCTAAAAGTTGATCTAATTACTAAGGCCTATTGTGACTTCTTATATAGAGACAATAAAACATAAAAACTGCACAAGATTTTAACCTGTTCTCCAAATAGGATTGATAGTTCTCTTATTTTGTAATGTTTTCTTCATTGCTAATTCATATCAGCAAATGTACTTGACATTAAAAAATTTAGTTTTTAAATCCTCTAGTTCCTTCATTGAAAGAGTCTTTGAGACAGACTAATTCAGTCATACATTAAAGACTAAGAAATTTAGGGCTGGGGTTGTGGCTCAGTGGTAGAGTGCTTGCCTAGCATACCCTGGGTTTGATCCTCAGCACCACATAAAGATAAATAAATAAAGATATTGTATTCATCTACAACTAAAACATATTTTTTAAAAAAAAGACTAAGAAATTTATTTTTATAACTAGTGGAAGGGTCCTAACTTTCAAACAAAATGTCAAATAGTCAGAATACATTTAGGATGGGGGTATTTTCATTTAAGATAGAATGGCTTTAAAAATTTTTAAAAATTATGGAATGGATCATAAATAGATGTACCTAAATACCAATGTATAGTTTAAGTTTAAATAATATTTATTAGTTCAACTTTGGCATATTCAGCATATAAGTAGAGATCTAGACTGTTGCTTACACTCAAAGAACCACATTTTGCATCCCTCCTCCTCACCCCATGTGATTATTGGTCTGATTTTTGAAATAATCAATTGATTTTTTTTAGTCTTACTATCTAGGCATGCATAGGTACAGAATACAGTTTTGTTTTTTTTTCCCTTTGGGGATAATGTGGATGGAATCACACTGTGGTTATTCTTTCTTATTTCATTTATTTCACTCACCACTTTGGGAGATTCATACTATAACTCCCTCAGGCAACTAAAAGTCATTCATTATGATTGTTACATAGCATTTTCTTATATGAATTTACAGTTAAATTCTTCCATTAAACCACTGATGTAAATTTGTGTTATTTCTAGCTTTGGGGTATTAGGAGCAGTGATTTTAAAAATTCTATTCATGTCTTCTGTGCACATACTGATCTTTCTGAGAGGGTGATTCTGAAAGTGTAGTTCAGAACCTGAAGCATCAGTATCACTTGGGAACTTTTTAGGGATGCAAATTCTCTATGGTTTCATCCAGACTCAGTGAATCTGGAGTAGCCTCCAGCAATGTGTGTTTGAACATACTCTCCAGGGGATTCTGGTACACACTAAAGTCTGAGAGTCATTGCTCTAGGGTATATATAGAAGCTACATTGCTAGGTCAGTGTGTATGCAGTATTAGGCTTTATTACGTAGTATCAAACTTTTCAAGGTTGTTTGGCTCCTTTCTATTCCCACCAGAATTAGAATATAGTTACAAAAGGATAATATATACTTAAACTCCAAACTCCAAACAGTATCTTGAAACCTCCTTATAGCCAAAGTGTGATTTTTGTGAATAACTACCTACAATAAAAAGTGGACCTGTTTATTATCTTTTTTACTTAATTTGACATGAATATTTTTAATGGGCAATTATATGAAATAATACATGATGTACAATATTGTGAAGTGATACAATGTTTTAGTATGTCATTTTCTCTTTTCAAATCTTCAAGAAAGTGACCAGAGCTGCATAATGAAACCACTTGTTCCTCTTCTCCTTGGTGTTCAATCATTACTTTGCTTGTAGTCTTCAGTTTTTGAAGAATTTCTCATCTTTGCTTTCAGAGAGAACAAAAAATCGGATCAAAAGGTTTCCAGATTATGTGCTTGTACCATACAGAACAGTTTATGTTCAATCAGTTCCTTGGATGGCAATAAGTGTGATAAATGACATTCTGTATTTGTCTTAGTTTTCTTTCTGCTGTTATAACAGAATACCATAGACTGGATAATTTATAAACAATGTAAGCCTATTTGGCTCATTGTTCTGGAGACTGGGAAGTTCAAGACTGAGAGGCCACATCTTGTGAGTGCCTCCTTGTTGTGTCATAACATGGTGAAAGGAATAATACAGGCATGTAAGAGAAAAATAAAGAGATGGAACTTGTAGGCTCAAGCCATTGTTATTAATCCATTCATGATGGCAGAGTTCTCATGACATAAGTGCCTCCTAGTAAGCCCTACCTTCCACTGAGGATTGTTTCTAACATCCACTGTTTGAGGGACACATTCAAATCACAGGGTTTTTTTTTTAAAGAAATTCAACCTTACAAACATCAATGCCATAAAAATATTTTAAAAATAGCTTTATTTAATTTATTTATTATTATGTGGTGCTGAGTATTGAACCCAGTGCCTCACACAAGCAAGACAAGCGCTCTATCACTGAGTCCCAGCCCCAGCCCCCATAGGAATATTTTTAATGATGCAAATAGTAATTATCACATGCTTGCTTACTACTTACAGTGTACACATTATCTTAGAGACAACAGTGATCTGGAGGACTGTGTCCTGACCAGAAACCATTTTGGAACAAGCACTTAGGGATTGGCTCCCATGTTCTCTCCTTTAACCAGGCATCATAGAAGTCTGTATTAATAAACCCAGAGGAGACCACGACCTACATTGGAGACCACACAAACAAATGACTCAAGAACAGATGGTAAAGTAGCAAGTCTTTTATATCCTAGTGATCCCAAAGCAAAGGACCCATTTTGTTGGAGGTAGTTAATATGGGCATCATATTGGTGGAGACCAACATTAAGCAGGGTCTTTAGAAGAGCTGAGAATAAGAAAACATGAAATTGCTCCTGTAAGACACACTATTCATGGACTCATTTGCAGATGGGTAGTGCTCCATTTTAAGGCCTGTTTTTCTAGCTAGACTAGAGGCTCTCTGAGGAGAGAACCATGTTTCTTCCAAGGGGATAGCACAGGATGATGCATGCCCTGAGAACTTGTTGACATAGTGTAAAGGCAGAAAATCAGAGATTTGTGGTTGGGTCTGAGAAAATTCAGAAGCAATGAAGTATATACTCAATAATGTTAAGGTGATCAGATTTGGAAAATGAAGGATATAAAACAGTATTTTCCATATTGAATTAATGCTAGAGATAAAATAAGAAAGGCAAAAGTACTGACAGCACTGGGTCCCACATCCCTCTATCCCTATAGGCCAGCATAGGCACCTGACCTTGAATCACCACACCCATTTAAATTATCTGGAAGGCCTTGACATATGCAACCCAGTTAAGCCTAAACAAAAGTTTCCCACTCTTTCAAATCTTATAAAAAAATCCTGCTGAAAAAAGTTTGAAAGAATGCTTTTTGGCACCACCTCCCCTGTTTCCCAGCCACAGCTGCCTCTCTATTTACTTGGACCAG